TATCACCGTTGAGTAGATGATATCTTTTGCTTGGCTAACAAGAACACTAATCTTGCCTATGTCGAGTCGGAATTCAACACAGTACATTCGTCAATTAAGATCACAACTTAACCAGAGGAGAATGATTGTCCTCCGTTTTTGTATGTTCATCTGACTATAGACCCCCCGATGGCTCCATCTAAAGAAAGATATATCGAAAAGTAACACGGAGTGGACAGTACACAAACTTTCATAGCTTCGTCCCACTCTATCAAAAACGTAACCTCATGTGCTGTCTCCTGTAAAGAGCAAGGTTCATCTGTTCAGAAGACACTTTAAAGAATGAACTTGAACTAGTGAGGAGAACCTTACTGGAAAATGTTTGTCTTGAGAAGTTTATTGACCGTGATTGGACTGAACAGCCCAGTAAAATGCCAAAAACGTAGAAGAAAATGCTTTTTATATAACTACCATTCAAAGGCGATGTCACCACTGAGAGGGTCAGCAGAGTTTTATCCTCAGCAGTGAAATCTACATTCAATGCCGCACAGCTAAGATGTGTGTTCTCTACGTCAGCAAACATCCGATGCTATAACAAAGATAAACTGCCTATGTTGATCTCATCTATGATCGTCTATCAGTTTAAGTGCGCCTGTGGTGCGACTTATGCAGGTCGAACGACAACGTAGTTATCTCAACGCATCAAGGGACACAATCCACGCTGGCTCACACAAGTTGGGAGTGGAGCTGTGCCAAGCTCGATCGTTGCTTATCTGGTAGAGACGGGACACTTGGTTGACATGCCCTCGGCATTTACAATCATGTATCGAGTCTCACCACACCCCTCGAGAGCAATACATTTTCGGATGTTAGCAACCGCAGAGGCAATTAGCATCCGACTCATGAAGCCTGAGCTGTGTGCACAGCGCAAATTGATTCAAGCCCTCACACTCCCCTGGCCAAGGGAAGGGAAAATCGCTTGTTCACACGACCATGACGTAATGACTTTGGTTATGTGATCTAAACAGCGTACACATTTGGAGTTCTCTTGGGCTCATTACCAAACACATGACTCATCCACCTTTCTGTGAGGAAATTGAAATTGTTTCATGTAAATGTGATTGTAAATTCTTGAAAACGAAAACATGTTCACCTACATTGTGTTCTTACTCTATTATTCCCGATTAAAGGTGTTCACTATCAGTTTCTTTACCGGAATATACGTATTTGTTAATGTCAGAAAAATTCCACATATGAGTGTATTCGGGAGACGAGATTTGAGAAAATTGACGCATGTCTTTCCCGAGATTAATTTTAAAAGAAAAGACAATATTACAATACTGCACGATTTATGTCTAGGACGATTTCGCTGCATCTCAACATGGTGCATGCTGCACAAAATACAATGTTTAAATAGGGCTTTAGCATGGCAACAAAGTCAAGCAAAATATATTAAAAACAGACAAAATATAAAAAAGGGAGGGGTAAAAGGACCATATCATCAGGGTAGGGAGAGACTAACAAATTTATTTTTGCTGACAAAGCGGGGGGGCTTCCATCGAGTAATAGCAATCGCTCTAGCAAACCTTAGCAATCTTGCAACTCGCTACTTGTAGATAATTTGTATTTGTATAACTTATGCAAGCTGAGATATGCTTACATTTCAGTTATAAATTGTACACTGGTGGTCACACCGGAGAAACTACAGAAGTATAAACGAATTGAATAGAGTGCTGTGTCAAAAAATAAATGTCTCTAAAGTTTGATTCATTCAATTAAAGATTGACGTAATTCACTTATAACTCGTTCCTTGTTGGTCAAGATGCGAGCCAGATACGGTACGGTGGAGTTTTTATAAATGTTTATTCGGGAGGGTAGGTACCGATAAGAGGAACGAGTAATCGAGTGGGAGCGACAAGAAGATAAGTCAAAATGCAAAGGATGGGTGGGGTCGTTTAGAATCTTATTGGCAAAGGTCATACAAGACTTCATATGACCATTAATAGGTTCTGTCATTAATGATTCGTCCTGGTGATATGGTCCTTTTACCCCTCCCTCTTTTATATTTTGTCTGTTTTTAATATATTTTGCTTTACTTTGTTGCCATGCTAAAGCCCTATATAAACATTGTATTTTGTGCAGTATGCACCATGTTGAGATGCAGCGGAATCGTCCTAGACATAAATCGTGCAGTATTGCAATATTGTCTTTCCTTTCGAAACATATGAGTGTGCCAGCCAGATTGCAGAAAATAAACTAGAACGGTGACTTACTGTGCATCCATCAATCTTTAGCACTATACACCTGGTAAACTTGGAGGCATTCACAATGAGTAATATTTCAGGTAATAGTAAGTAATATGACTTTTCAGTCATTCATTTTACTTTATCAATATACAGAACACTCTCCTGTCCTGACTAATGATAATAAGCGAAGAGATATCATTATAATTATTTTATCTCTTTATTCTTTTGATATTCTCAGTTTTACACTTCTTTTTTTACTTACTACTCGTTCTTATTAGAACCAGTATCATTAGTAGGTGGCAACCAGAATTCCTTACATTTCATTCGATTGTATTGGACTTAATCAATTCCGATTGATTCGTTTGTTCTTTGATGGATAATTTCTGAACTTAATATTATGCGCTTGAATGGTAATTGCATAGCCGTAATGCAAGCTAGTGTCAAATTAGCTCTTTCTCCTTCAGGCTATCATAGGATTTTGGTGATGTACTTGAAGGTTTGTTGTTCTGCTCGGAAAATCGATCATCATTGGGACAAAATAATCGCATTCTATTAAGACCGGCTTGATGATGGTTGCTGTGGTACTTGTTCGGGCGAAATTTATTTGCGGTCACGCGCGATGAGCACGTTGCACGTGCATAACGAAACTCAAGGAAATCAGCTGATTTTCGAAAACCAAAATCATTTTTACGCTTACCAAGTGCGTTAGAAGTGAACTTGTCAGATTTTCGGTTTCTGTTAGCCTTCTCGTCAATGCACTACAAAATATGGCCTAATATCACCAATTGAACACAAAGTAGTACTGATTAATCGTCTGATATCACGTGAGTCCTAGGAAGTATTGACCTTTGAATCGAACGTACTTTCACTTTACGTTCCTTGCAGTATAATATGATCGGTGTTTTCGAATGTGCGTTTCAATTCATAAGTCGGATTCTCTTCAACAGCTTTTATTTACCTGGAAAGAAATAGTAAATTCACCTTATTTCGTCCCCGTCCTACACTGATATTTCAACATCAACAAGACACTGATTGTTGGCTTTGCAGGGTTCCTTAAACGAAAATGTCCCGAAACACATTTGAAATGTTTGGGGAGTTTCTATTTGATTGACAATGAACAAGTAACACAGGTTCAATATTCGTTCTTAATTCAAAATCGATAATCCTTGTTTAGCTTATTGATGAATATATCAGGGTAGTTGTCGATCCTCGTTAACTCGTAACTCACCTCATAGTTCAGGATACTTGCCGATATAAAATTTATTACCTCCGAATGAAAATTTAAATATCTTGTCCTTAGAATATGCCAGTTGGCTTCAATCAACAAGGTTTATTCTTCTGTTTATTTGACAACGAGAACTGCATTATTGTCTATGTATCACATAGAATGCAGTCTCCCCGATAGCTGTAAACTTTGGCCGCCTTTTACCAGTTTGTACAGTTACGTAGAATATTTAGTGAATAAAATTCAATTGTTTTTATTGGTTGAAATTTGAGGATCTGGTGACCGACTTGAGTAACTAGTATGGCTATAGTGAGGAAGTAAATTTGATTTTATATGCTCTCCAATCTATGAGCTTTTTGACACATCCCCTTCGTACTTTACTAAATCTCGTGTTTAAAGCTTGCACACCTTCATACCAGGCCATATCCTGATCACCCGTAGTCCTGTTGCCTGTCTCGTTAAACAGTGCATTGAGGTAGCTTATTCGGTAACATGTGTGACACATATTCCAGCCACCGCAATCTATGAGGGTCAACCTCTTGCATTATTGCATGACCATCATTATTTAATACTCTTCCATAACTTTGGAATTGCTCGTTCAATTGTCACACCAGATTCGCGTGACGCGGTCTACATGGCGGTGTCTTAACACTGATAGTCTGCATCTGTCTTCCTTTCGTGTCTCTACACCACATACGAACACCGGTCAAACTGTGGCAGCACATAATCAACCCTCAACGTGTAGTCGGATGTTGTGCGGGTGTCATAGTTGGTTTAAGCTGGCAAACACAACTCCTGCCCTCTGTATACATCATTCGCAATTCATCTGCCGTACAAAAGGATAACTCTGACGAGCACCATTTTCTGTGCAAAAATCAGAGGGAAAACGCTTTCAATTCGAATGGTTATTTGTCTAGAGTGGAAAGTAAAATGAGAAATAAATTCAACTGAAATGCAAGCTTAAATGTTCGTAACACTTAAGTGATACAATGCAATCAGTGGGAGATAGAGTGAGAGTTTGGTGCGATCGACTGATTCGTAAACCAATCAAGATTCCAGTTTCCCTTGGGAAATTAGTCCATCTATTTTATGAGCAGGACTGTGATCACTCCCTATTTGAAATTGTGAATTCGTCATGTTTTTCATCGTGACAGGTGTTTCATATTTAAATCACAGTCACACATATCAGAGATAAGCGTTTATTATCCCTCTGGTTGATATACTGAATATATCAAGCTGCTAAAAAGAAATAAGAACAATTCACTTGGTGCATCTTGTGGTAGATTGATTCAAAAGAAACTTTTAAAACTGTTTATTTTTTTAAATCGGCTGAAGTACCATGAGATTATTCCTAAATTTGACAATGCGAAAGATGATACATTTATTATTCTTTTTCAACTGATCTCTGAATTAGATTTCGGAACTGACCTATGTCATTCACAAGTGCCGTACTTCATACCTGAACTAATACCTTATGATTCGGTACTCCCAGATTTTCTTAGTATTTGAATGTCTACAGATATGAATTGGTTACCTTTGCGTGCATCACCATGTACTCTCATTTTGTCGCAGTTCCGATATCGCACTGTGTTGTTTTCATTCCAGAGGCTCTGTTGCGTTCAATGTGTCAAACTGTTCTGGATCTGATCCCCAAAGAACTCGTTCCAGCGCTTATGAGAAAACTCGGATTTTCACCTTCTATGATTGACTTGCTAGACCAGGAGTATCCAGGTGGATATAATTATGTCAAACGTTTGAAAATTGCCTTGGAGGCCTGGTCTGGATTCACAGTGGACGATAGTCGAGTGTCCACTGAGCCAAGTATGATTGGTCGCATGACTTCGGATCGATCTCGTGGTGCAGAATCCAATCAACCGCAGAACGAAGAGTCCGATAAGCGCTCAAGTCCGGGAAAGACATCGGCTATGTCAGCGCTTACCGGGGCCAGTGAATTCGGTCACGATCCGGTCGTTGTACCCTCTAACGAGTCTCGACTCAGTCAGGCTGATATAAAATCATATCACACCAGAGAATCACAATCGCTGCATTCATTCGCACTGAATGGCACTCCGAATTCCGGGATCGGTTCACCGAATGTGATGTTTTTGCTCAAAGAGGCCGTGGTCGGACTCGAGGTTTCTCCTCAGCGTTTGATGCATTTAGTGAATCTGCTTGGACTAACTGAACTCCACCAGGCACTTGTTCAACTAGCAAACAGTGCTGAATTGCCCAGATTCTAAATGCGCATTAGATGATCTACTTTATCCTCATCCACGTATACTGTTATGTTGGATACGTTTGGATTTGTTCCTTTTTCCCTTCCATTACTCAGTCATCCCAAACTGTTTCGATCAAACACTTCGACTAACCGTTGATTGCATTCTTTAAAATTGGCTTTAATTCGAAATCCCCTTCAATGGCATATCAATCAGTAAACAAATCTAAGAAAGTTTCCTCAGTCAAAAGGGTACCATATATTCCTTGGGGTTCTCACCCCGTGACACTCACTTGAAGATGGACATGAAACTTAATATCACCTCATCACACTTAGCATACTCCTTGATATCATTTGATGATCAGTATGCCGGAATAATCCTGAGAGCTATGGAGGAAGATCTCTATTCGAAGTGATAGATGTAACTGATGAGTCACCACCTAGAAACCGGATGGAGTCTGTTCGCGAGAGACTTGTGTATGAGTAATTCCTGTCTCCTCACTGGACGATCCATACTTACAGTTAACGAAACTATTTCAGTAAAGCAACGTGGAAACACAACTAAGCCTATGCCATACAGTCGAGCAAACTCAGAGGTTTCATACGCTCGGCTTCCCTAGAAGTTTTAATACTTCACACGGATTTTCTTCCAATCGTTACAGTGTTGTCCTTTTTCCTTCCTCTTCCGATGCATTGAATGAACTTGAAGGCATTTAAGGAGAAATAAATTTGCTGACCAACAACGGATCCCAAAATCTCAATAATAAATTTAAAATAGATAGTTGAAACCGTTATTTCCCGAAATGAACTTGAACAAAGAACACAACATTGTAAGCGAGCACGATTTAATTCCGAAATCATTTCGCTGTATCTCAACTGGCGCTTCCTGCGGAAAAAAGTAGTTTATATATCACACGTTATGACAATCAAACATGGTATCAGTCCATTCTTCCGCTTACGTGGTCACCAGGGCAACGCCAGACTGATGTAGACCTCCTTCTGCTGACACAGTAGGGGCTTTCGGCGCTTGATTGCTACGGCCTCTGCAAATCTTAGCAGCCGTCCATTCGGAGTTGTGTAAACAATCCGAAACGAAGTCCCCAGCTTGGTGGCCAGTCTGCAGCAGATGGCGAGCAATTGATGATGCAGGTGCTCTGTTAGACTGGCTTGATGGCCTAGTTGTTTGTGTAGCGTTCAATCTCACCCGCTCGCGTTCGACCCATACCGGTATGTGTTCAGCCACTCGGGTACGCAGCTGCCTCTCTGTTCTGCCCACGTAGGTAGCTCCGCAACTACATCGAAATTCATAGATTACATGGGATTTGACGGACAGGGGGAGCGGTGATTTCACCAAGGGCTTCGGAATCTGGGTTATTGAGAAGCGAACGACCGGATTTGCAGTAAAATACCTGCGCGCTACAGTCGCCACCAGTCGTCTTCGTATGAGTTGTCCTACATCATCACCGTTGAAAGGGAGTTGAATGATGATGTCGCATTTTGGTACTATCATCTCCGCGGGTTTGGGCTCGGCTTTTTCGCTGTACAATTGTATAACCTTTGCTGGGTAGCCATTGCGTTCCTGTGCTTCCGTGAGCCGAATTATCCCACTTTCCACGTAATCTGACGTGCACGGCCTCCTAGCTCGGTCAGTGTACGCACGAGGCCTCTTTTGTACTAGATTGGAGCGAAACTTCCAAAGTGCATATACTGACCGGTCCAGGTGGATTTTTGATGCACACACCTCGTAATAGTCTCGTCCGGTCTTGGACTAATAACAATATCCAGAAATGGGAGTGTGTTGTTTTTCTCGGTTTCCATAGTCCTTGTGAAGTAAATTCAATTCAGCTAACAGTTCTTCAGTCTCTCTGGCGCTTCGGGTGATTATCAACGTGTCATGGACGTATGTTTTGTGCAGGACAGTGCCATCCAGTGTCCTACTGGCTTTCTTCTCCAAACTAGCCATGAAAATATCAACCAGAATAAAACCCAAGGGGCTACCCATAGCCAACCCATCGACTTGTCTAAATCACCGACCTCGAAAACTGAAGCGTACATCCGTTGTGCACAGAACTGGTAGACGTTCCAAGACCGAGAGCGGGATATCCAAGTTGATTTGATTCTCAGATTTGATTCACAGATGATTTGTATAGTTTTTACAACAGGCACCTTAGTGAACAAAGAAACGACATCGAAAGATGCCATATGACAGTCATTTA